CTGGGGATCCTCTTCCACTGCTTAACTACTCTTGCAGTAAAGAGGGGTTTGATTTTTACCAACATCTGCAATTTCACTGCAGCAACTCTGCATTCATCGCCCTCTTCCTGGCATCTGGTTTTCCTTCTCTTATCCAGCTAATCCGACAACTTCTCCTCAGTGAATGTGCCAACAACTGTATTGCTTAACTCTCTCTGGAGAGACCTCCTGGACTCAAAACCACGGGACTCAAACCACACGAAATCTGCCAATATTATTGGGGAAGAACAATAGGACGCCAAGCAGGTCACAGATTAGAGACAATAGCAGCCACAGTTGGGAAAGAAGAGTTATCAGTACTTCATTTTATCTGTCTCTGCTTTCTAATTCTGGGGTGGGTTTTTTTTAATATGGAAGTGAGGAGGAGATGGAAGCAAAGCCCAGTAGTGGACATATTGGCATCCCTCCTGTTCCTTTTCCCCCCCGTTCCTTTTTGCTTTCCGTTTTGCTGTCATTCTCTCTCTGTTTTTTCTGAAACAACTCTGTTAATACCCCCACCTAGTCCTTGCTTAGCGTCAAAAGGCATGGACTAGGTTTGTCAGCTGTTCCACAGTCATCATATGCATTGTTCAGAATAATCTTCCCTGTCTTCATCCTTTTTCATTGTGTCTTTCTAAACACAGACAAACAGCTCTGCTGGCCAAAAGTCATTATTCTGTACTCGGACCTTGTTGTGCAGGATGTTACGCCCTGAGCTAGCCGTCATCTGTCACTGTTGTGAATGTAGTGGTACCGGTGGGGAATTTTACAGCGTCAGAATTTACTGCTGTGTCATCGTTTTGGTAGCAGGGAAAGACACTCCACTACTTTTATGAGCTGGGACCCAGCTCTGCTCCTGCCCCTGGTGGGATCAGAGCCCCACTCACCCCCACCACCCCCGGCTGCTCCCCACTGCCTGCCCAAGCCTGCTGAAATGGCCGTTTCCAGGCTTGGTGCTCTGGCTGCCTGTGCCCCCACTTGCTGTGCGGCAGCAGGCTGCTGGGGAGAGCCCCGCACTCCTGGGCATTGCCTCGCAGCTCGCCGTGTTAGCGAGGGGTCGGAGCCTCGGCGTGCCCTCTGCCTCCCTGCGCCTCGCCGGGGCTCTGTGCCCGCTTCACGGGGTGCAGGTTGCTGAAAACAAGCCTACCTCTGGGCCTGACAGACTTCGTGGCCCATTTTACTGACAGAACAGAAGGACGGGGGGACTGCAGGGGTTCCTCTGCTGAGTTTTGTTCTGCTGATGAGTCCTAGTGTTTAAGGTGTTTCTCAGTCTTTCTTCTGTCTGAATATTTGTCATCGTATCGAGATCACTACCAGTATCCTCTTGTCTTTTGGGTTTGTTTAGCATTTGTTTGTGCAGTTGAAATACTCCATCTTACTAAGCGGCAAGTGTTGTGGATTGTGCTTTTTATGTCACATGTTTACCAAGAGTACAAACTGTTAATCTAAAAATATCTACAGAGAAAAGATCTGGCAGATGCAACACTTATGACTAAGCATTCAGAATGAGTATTTTGTTGGTTCCAGAGCGGCGGCCTCTCCAGAATCTGGCAAAAAGTGGGGGCTTGTATGTGTGCGTGTATGTCTTCATCTATTGCTGAGGACATGAAGGGTGATGTCTGCTGTTACGATTGTAGGTGCAATATGAATTATTTATTTATATATTTCAGTTTTTCTAACTGAAAAAAAAAAATCTGATCCAGCAAAAACACCAGCTGATTCTTTTTTTTTTTTCCTGCTTCTTTGGGATACCAGCAATACTTCATTGCAAGCTGGGCTTTTTTGTAGTTTTCATTTACACTTAGCTTCCTTTCTGTACAGAAAGTGGGACATCAGTTTGGTTTTTAAGGTGTTTTAGTTTGGTGTTTTGGTTTGTTTGTGGGTTTTTTTTTTTCAAAAAAAATTATGAGCAAAACAACTTTTGAGATAAATTTACAGAAGTATTTTTGACAGTAGCAGCTGCGGTTTACTTCAGACTTGAAAATAACTTCAGCCAATAAAAAAATTGTTTTGTGTTTTTAGAGGTATTGTGTGTATGTCGTGTTCATTGCTTAATTATTCTTTATCTGAAGTTACATGCACTACTGATGTATTGACTGTCTTGTTTTCTGTATTTGCCTTTGCTAAAAAGAAGCCAAATAAAGCTACTTTGAACATAAGGCTGCATGAATCCTTTAATTTTTAGCACAGTGCTTGTGAGCTTTTATAAATCGATGAGAGGAGCATCATGCATGAGCTCTCAGTGCATAAATAATTCCTTAGGAAAAGAAGTAGTGATCTAGTGTATTCTTTAAGGCATATGGCCTTTTGAAGTTAATCGTGAAACCACAATAACTTTTGTTTGTCATGGCATCAGCTTGCACTTTCACTATGACATCTTTTAATAAGGAGAAATTTCGATCCAGTTAAAAGGACATCGCAACGCTGCTGTCTCCATAAAGGAGCTGAGTGTTGTGGGATTATGTCCTAGCTCTTGCAATACCAGTGAAAGGCAGTGGTTTGTTGCTTGTCTAAGCTCTACCAGTTGATGGAACAGAATAGGCAGTGATTTTTAGAGATTTTGAGATTGTATCATAAACTCCCACTCTTGATTTTTCAGGAAAGCAAATGGTTGCTGTTGATGGTTTCTGAAGAACTTCCTACTAGGTGCTGGCCCTAAGCGCAAGTCTCGTTGCTGATGTACCTCACCCTGAGTGGTGGGAGTTAGTAGTTTCTTCTGGGAATTTGATGCTCTGAGACCAGCCAGGCCAACTCTCCATGCACAAAGGGAAGGGAGCGAGCCAGCAGCACTCCTGGCCCGAGCACAGTGCAGGGCACGCTGTGGTTTTCCCAGACAGAAGAGCAATTTTTACCATGCAGAAGAGCAGAAGGGCTGCTTCCTGTGGCCCAGGAGCTCCTGGCAGAACTGGGTCAAGTGTTCCTTGGCCCACCACTCATGAGGTGATTTGTGCTGGCAGAGCAGGGCAGGAAAAAATAGTGAGGGCTAGGGTGGTTCATGCTGGGGCTGAGGTGCAGTAGCAGCATTGAATGAGCTAAGAGAAAGTAGATTATCCACCCTTAGCTTCACAAGAAGTAAACAGACGCAGAATAGCAGGTTTCCTCAGGGAAACCTCAAGGTTGCTGTAAAACCTGTAAAAGGTTACATTTTTGGCTGACAGCCTGATCCTTGGAACCTGTCAAGTTGTTTGCTTTTGTATTCGAGTTACGGTGAATGGTTTAGTTCCTACAGCTGTGTCCCCCCTTTGTGTGCTTTTGTCCCCCGTGTGCTCAAGGATGCTGTTAGTCTTGAATTGTGCTGACATACGGGGCAGGAAGGTGAAGTGTCTGCTGGAGATAACTTCCATGCATGGCTGTGCTAGTGGAAAGAGAGGGTCTTCAAAAGCCCGGCAGGCAGGGCTGGGTTTGTAGGAAAGCGAGAGTTTGCAAAAAAAAAAAAAAAATCATTTCCGATGGCACTATGAGGATGACTGTTTCTTTTTGCCTTGGGTGTTTTCTCGTTGCCTTGCCACACTGCCCACCCAGCCTGAGGTCAGGGCAGCTGCTCCAGCAACCTATGAAGAAGTGGCGAATACATGCGTTGTTTTTTTGCGGTATCCTTTCCTCGTCCTTCACAGATTCCTGAATTTTACTTCTGCAGAACAGATTTCCAGCTTCCAAGTCTGAGAAGTAGACTTTCTGGATGCTTCTGGGTGACTTTTTCCCTGTTGTGCCATCTCACGTGCCTGCCAGCTTCACTCCTGTGTCGCCCGGCTGCTGCCCTGCTAACTAAAATGCTGTTTGCTCTGAAAGCATGGCGGCAGCTGTTCTCCAAGTCTGCTGCATAACAAGACGTCAAGGAAGGAAGTGCAGGATAATTGTAGAAGCTGAGAGGATGTGTGGGGGGTTTGTCTGGATTTTTTTTTTCCTTAAGATGGGCTGAAGTTAGCAGCAGAATCAGCACTGAACAAGAATTTGCATGTTGATGACCAGTGTTTATCACCCAGAAAAGCTTAAAGAGTTTTCAGCTTAAAGTTGAAAGCACTAACACGTGTTGTTCTGAGACCACATGCAGTAGGCAATGTTCACTTTCTGTATATGGGTATCACCTGCTGCCTCCTCTCCGTGACCCGGTGCCATTTTTCATCCTGAATAGGCTGTTTCTATTTCCGTGGCCCTAATGTCATGACACCCAGCTGGAAACCTCCGCAGCCTTCTGCAGGTCCGTTTCTGCACAGTCAGCTGCTTAGTGGTGCGCCGGTCATTTTGTGTGCCAGAAGAAATTAGTTTCACGGCATTTCCAGCAGATCTGAAAGCTCGCCAGCGCTGGTGCTGGGGTGGCAAGCGTGCCTTCTGACATTCAGCAACTTCCACGTGTCATCTCCGAACAAAAAAATCTGCCTGGACAGAGTCTGAGGCAGGCTGTCTGTCCTGTCTTCGTAGCAAAACTTGTGGAGAGCAAGTTTCTTAGTTAGTGCCCCAGCTGCTGAGGCCCTCATGCTGAAGCAAGAGAGGCAATCTGCAGCTTTGGCGTGCCAAAAGGATCGCTGTCTCCTCTGGGGACCGAGGGGCCTTCTGCCACGAGGTACGCAGGGATGGCTCCAGGGAGATGGGAACGGCAGGAGCTCGGTGCTTCATGTCCCTCTGCCTGCAAGATGGAACAGACGGGCAGAGCTGGGCAGTAAAGAATATGCTTGCAACCCTGGCCTTGCTAATCTGTGTTTCCTCAAGGAAACAGAGAAGATGGATTTCCTTACTAGCTGCAGCCTAGTCAATCATTTCTAGAAAACAATGTAGCTGAGTGTAGTAGGCTGACAGCAGGAAGGGGAGTGTTTCCCACTGCACACTTGGAACGGGGTTTAAGCAGGTCTTTCCTTGGCAGAAGAAGCATGTATCCGACAGACAGCCTGTTCTGGCAGCGGTAGGTTAACAAGCTGTTAGTTAATGTATTTTGGTAAGGAAACATACTGTGAGAGAGTGACTGATTTATATTTGATTTCACCCGCTTATAAAGTGTTTCTGATTTCAGCTCCTTTCTTCTTGATTATGTCCTTCCGTGTCCAGGCTTGCCTGAACCCTTGTTCCTCTCTGTCCTGGTCATGACCCTTACTGGTCGCTCCTTGCAAAGGATTCTGCCTGAAGAGTGCTATTTTCTTGCTTATCTGGACACACTGTCCATCTGGCTGCTCCATTTCCCTCTCTGATACCTGAAAGTTCACAGCGGTCACTCCATCATGTGAAGGTGTTATTATCTCCCTGGATCATAGTAACCACATGGTGAAAGTAACTCTGGTGAAAGCTCATCTTTATTTCCAAACCAGAAGGCAGCCCCTCTAGGAAAGGCAAATAACTTGGAGACTGGTAGACAGACCTGGGAAAAATGGAGGTGACTCTCTGCCTGCAGAAGCTCTACAGAGCCCAGATCCTGGGCATGCACCGCCTGAAGCTCAAGTGGACCCCACTGACAAGTTGTCTTCTCCCTTGCTAAGCTGCATGATTGTCCCATCAAGATGCATGAAAAAAGAATGTGCAACTGTGGGCCTGACTGAGGAACGTGATCGGTGTTTCACTGTGGAGAAAAAGGGAAGTGTGCTCTCACCACTGTTGCACTAGCGTAAAGTTTGATTTATATTAAGCAGCTGGGGATTTCAACTAACTGATCTTTATGTAGGGGTGATAAATATTGGCATTGTTCTGCCTCCTTTGTCACAGCTGTCTGGGATAAGAAATCAAAAGGTAATTATGAAATCCACTTGGTAAGGCTTGTTTCCTTGCTGGACCAACCGTTCTGGGAGCAAGCACTCTGTGGAGATGAGAGCGACACTAGGAAAACACACACGGCTTTGATGGAAATACTGGAGAATATTTCCTTGGACAGTACAGAAGGCATAGTGATGGGAATAAGAGATGGGAATTCTCCAGGTGATAGAAACCTGGCTTCTTTCCCTCCCAGCCCTGACTGTCCCAGCAGGAACATGCATGAGAGTGGTTGCATCAGGAGAGGTGAGAGAGAGCTCATGCATCCTGCTCTGCCTCCAAATCACATGTCTGGAGTCAAGTAGCTGCTTATGCATGCTCAGCTGTGCTTTCCTCTTGTCCTGGCTGCCATGGGTGCAAACCTGCACATGTTGGGCAGCAGCCCAAAGGACTGCCTGGTGGCCACTGTGCTGCTGCAGCAGGTGCTCTGCCCTTCCACCTCCAGACAAGCCCAGTGCCCTCCGCTTGTGTTCTTAATTCTTCCTTAAACCACCATGTTTCTCTACAGATAGGGAGATGTGAGAAGAGATAGACATTTCCCAGTCTGTACGGAAGAATGGGATTGGAATCCAGAGTTAAATAAAGGTAAGTTTATCCTGCTTGATCTGGAGTGAAGGTAGAACCTCAGATGAACTATTCAGGCATATTTTTGCATTGAGCTGTGAAGAGTCCACACCTGGTATCTGAGATCTGAGGCTAAATCTTATTGCAGCTTGCAGTAGCAACCACGAACTAGGATCCTTTTCCCATCTGCTTCACTGGAAAAAGAAATTGTTCCTCTGCCCATGTTGACCAGCGGCATTTTGGTCTGGCTGCCTGGCAGCACTGCAATGTTTGAGAATGGGCAGACCAGCCACTTGAGAAACTGGAAAATTGGAATTGAAGACAACTGGAGAAATTGGGATTCTTGAGCAGGCTGGCTGCCTCCTAAGCAAAAGTTGTGTTTTCACTGGAAAAGCAGAAATCCCAGTGTCAGGGAGGAGTAACGGCACAACTTCATGGGGTTGCATGTAGGACATGGTTGGTGGTCTGCCAATAGTGAGGAACGCTGAGGGGGCGCCTGGTCCTGTCCTCTCCGAATCAGTAAGGGAGCGGAGGCAGTGCAAAGCCCTGTGACTGACCTACAGCATCAGGCTGCAGGAGTTACTCAGCACGGCCTTGTTTAACAGCTGAGGTTGAGGTTTTTGCCGCGGCCTCCCTGTTGTGTTTCCTATTAAGTGCATTTTGGGACTGTGAAGGGTTTATTTTTTGAGTGTTCCACTGGCCTTAGCTGTTCAGGTTCACGTGAGGTCTGGACTCTGAGTCTTCAGACACATTTCTGTTAGTGTTGTGCAGGCCAGATCTGGATGAGAAACTTTAATCTGATGTTGAATTTGGGAAAGATAAAACTCTCTGCTATGGGATAAACATGGTGCCTAACAGTCGATAATAAAGAGCTCTTTATGCCTTTATTTTTTGGCATGTTAGCAGTACTCCCATCTATGGAAAACCTCTCCATTCCCACAGGAGTAGGAGATGTGTCTCTGCTAGCCAAACCCAGATATTTCCCCTGCCCCTTCTGACACAGCTTTGCATGTTCATCTAGCTAATGTGAAGAACCTAGGGGCAAAATTAGCCCTAGAAAGCGGTATGGGCTCCCCAGCTTCTAGAAAAATTGTTACCCTAAAAGTGGGGAAGATGGGGTCGCTGCGAAAGATTGCCTGTGGAAACCTGAAACGGTGTAAGCAGCTGGCTGGACTGACTAGAACAGGTTTCTGGTTTCCTGGAAGCACTCCTCGTGACTTTTCTCCTTTATGTTTAAAGTGAGGTTTCTGCTGCGAGGTCTCCCTTCCTCAAGCTTTTCTTTATTAGCTGAAAGGTGGGTATTTTAATAGAAGAGGCGAGATATTCCCAGAAACTGCACAATTGTCTCTTCTGGTCTTTATGACCAGTTAAAAAGTCTGAAAATTTGAGGGGATAAATGGTATAGGCATGAACTTAATTTCTATCAGCCTGATTTATTATGTGGGTAATATAATAAATTATTCAACACAAGCTGTAAATCCTCTGCTCAGTGGTTTTACACCACTCTTGGGATAGCACAAGCAGATTTAATTTAATATCCTTGCTCTGTTTACTTGCAGTGTGTAGACAATAGCTGTTTTGATGGTGTGTGTATAATCCATTCCATTACAGAGTGGATTTGGGCAGGTACAGCTTTCATATGATTGTGTTTCGCATGTGTAACTGCTTAGGATTTACAAGCATTTATATCCTTTTGAGAAACTGCTTAGCTTGGGACTGTTTCTCAAAGAAGAAATGGCCCTGAAATGGGAATTTAGGAGAAGTGGGGCTGTTGGTACAACCCTGTCCCAAAACACTCTCTGTCTTAGTTCAGACATTGTATGATTTAGATGTTTACACATCGTTCTTCTCTGCTGGCTTAAACATATATGGTGTATTCTATTTTAAAAACAAATAGTTTTTATTTATCTTGTCACAGTGTAAATAATGTCAAGTCAAAAGAGAAAATATTACTTCACCATCTTTACTTCCAGAAACCTTCCTTCCAAAAATAGGATAAATATAAACAATTCTTTTTTTCGCCTTTCCCAGTGAAATAGTGGAAGGTATCTTCAGTGGAATGAATATTTTGTGAGAGAAGTATTTCAAGGCTTAAGAAGTCTTTAACTTAAAATATTTTATTTACCTTTGTAAATTGTTATGAAAATGTTTTATATTGAGGAATAGATAGCTTGTGAATAACACTAAATAATGTAAAATTCTGCATCTTCTGACTCTGATTTTCTGCTCTCTTTGAAGGTAAGAGACTACAGTAGAGGGGAAAAAAAGAGAGCAGTTATTAGGATGTACAACAAACCGAATAAGCTATGCTGAAACTTTAGGTAGAGGTTGAATATTTTTATGAATCTCCTTTCTCTGTGGCATTTCCAAACCAGTAACTATTTGGAAATGGAGCTGCCTCCATTTCTCTTACCTTGTGTGAAGAAGAATTGTCTTAGCAGAAGAGCTGAGAACAACTTCCACTCTGCTCTATATCCTCTTCTTCAGAGCACTGAGCGAGCGATGATGGTGGAAACCAAGCCCCTTGAGTAGAGGAGAGGTCCTGCACCTGCCCTGCATGACATGGGGTGCCAGCAATGCTGGGCTACAGGACAGAAGAGGAACTACGGTGAGTAGCAGACACGATTACAGGGAAGTGTTTAACTTTGTGAAGAGGAGCCTAAGGAGGTCACTTCTTTGTGTGATGGGGAGTGTTTGAGGGGAGTGCAAGTCAGATCCAGCTGCGCTTCGAGGTGCAGTGGGAGAGCCTCTCTCTGTGGAGAGACTATGAGAACTGCTAATATCTAATGCTGGTAGTTTTGCTGATTGGCTTCTGTACTGAAAAAACCCAGAACAACATACTGATGCAAATTCTCACATTTAGAAGATGATCTCTCTTGATATGACTTTAGTTCTAGATATCACTTTAGTTCTAGATAATAGGGTCAAATAGAAATATGTGGAAATACAGATGTCAGTTTTCATTCTTGCAGAAAACCTTAAAGTGTACTTCAGGTTCCTTCTCTGGGTACACGTAGTCATGTTTTATCCTGTTTTAAGCTGAATGTGTATATGAATGTACAAGTAGTACTTAACTTTCGGTGTGATTTGCTGACTTCTGTGACATGATCCTGAGATAAATCCAGCTTTGAGGTTACTCTGAGTAGCCGTTTTCCCTAAACAAGTTCTTCCACTGAAAAACAGAATGAATTTTAAATTATAAAAGGTAGGTTTTGGTTAGTATCTAAATGGGGAGCTTTCACCTTCTAGAAAGAGAAAACTGAGGTGACAGACAGAAATAAAGGGCCTGTGTACATCTTGTTCCCACCTCGTGGTGTCCTTGTAGGCAGGTCCTTGCTTCCAGGTTTGATTTCAGACAACTCTGTGTTTTTCTGCCTCGCACCAGATTTTGCACAGTACCTTCTAGCAGCTCCTTGTTGCTCGTAGCTCCTCGTGGTGCTTTCTTTAGTGGATGCAGGTCCTTCCTGCATCCTTTAGGGGATGCTCTTCACTGAGACTCTCCTTCTACGTAATAACTTCCGGGCTGGCATTTTTTTTTCTAGAACAGAGGTAGTTATTTCCGAGAAAAAGAGGGTCTCTCTCCTCCTTCCCGAGTTCTATCTTGAATGAATCACTCCCTTTCTAAAGACACATGCTGCCAAATTGAAAAAAAGGAATGCCCAAAGCCCCAAAAGATACATCAGGAACTTCACTCCTCTAACAATCCAAGTATTTAGACCCAATGGAAGACACACCTGCACAGCCTAGGACCATCTCAAAGGACCTTCAATAAGCAACTACTGGACTACAACTATCCCTGTGCTGCACAGCAGCTCTCTTTGTGTGCAGTGAGTCCAGGTTGTCCAGGATAACTTGTCTTCCAGGAGAAAAATGCCTGATTTTACTA